GGATCATAAATGCGACTTGTACTTTGTTAACAAAAATACATGGACAGACGGACGGACGGGCATGCGTAAATCGACTCAGAAAGTGATTCTATGCATATTCTCAAAAGGGTCTATCTCGATTCCTTTTGCCTGTTACAAACATATGCACAAAGACATAATACCCTGTACCACAGTGTGGTGAAGGGTATAAAAATCCTCGCCTTTTGTAGGCCTTGAAAAAAAATGTTCTTTAAAAAATCCACGACTTTTGTAGGCCTTGAAAAAATATACCTTAAAAAATCCACACCTTGTGGAAGGCCTTGAAAAAATATTCTTAAAAAAATCCACGCCTTGTGAAAAGCCTTGAAAAAAATATCCTTCAAAAAATCCGCACCTTTTCCACTAATTGTTATTCTTTCTCTATTTCTTTCAGTAATCCTCCCGGATAAAATCAAAACCGAACCTATGGAAAATCATGTTCTACGCAATTTACAATTCACTTTGGCTGATGATGACGATACCATGCATTGCTCCAAAATCAGCGAAGAAATAGTCGATTTAGATTGCTCACGTGGCGATGAATATGTCCTTCCCGATGATGATGATGTCAATTTACCACCATCCCAGTTAGATTTCGATAATAGCCGCGATGGAATGAATATGATTATACCAACGAAATTACAATCTAGTTCCGATTTGTTGGTGGACAGCGGTGGTGACAGTTGCGGTTCTTTGCTAAATCCCGGTCAATCACAAATTTCAATTTTATCCGAAAATGTGGTGCCTACTACATCGCGGCCATTGGAACACCATAATTTCAATGTGGTGGGTAGTAGTGAAAGTGAAAATTCAATGCATTTAACACCTGTGCATGTTGTTGCTGGTGTCATAAAGACTGATTCGAAATCCGAAATCCGCAGAGATGAAGGAAGCAATGAAACATTTTGTTCGTTAATGCAAAATGCTCAACGATTTCCCAGTACCTTTGAGGATGGCACATTTGCAAATCTAGCAAATCCTTTGAAAGATCCAACTCCTGCTGCTGCTCCTCCTGAACCCATGATAAAAATTCCCTTTAGTGTTGTTACCACAAAAAAGGCGACAAAAAATAAAATATCCAGTAAATCCGATTTTGTGCCACAAATAAGGCATGTCATGCCACGTCTACCTCTCATCACAGCAAAAAGTGTCAACTCACGAGCCATTTCACCCATATTGAATGCACATGAATTTGAACCGGGTCCCACATCAACACAAATAAACGAACAACAACATCAACCAACCGGAAATCCGATCATCAATGAGGAGCCCAATTTTGCCCTACCTTCATCAAGCGGTAGCGGATCTTTGGCTACTGGCACAAGTTTAAGAGTTTCACAAGAATTATCCACGGATAAGACGCTATTTAACAACTCCTCTCTGATAAGAGCAATGGATAATGCTGCTGCGAAGCCAGCAGAAAATGACGAAACAAACCACAAACCTCCCATAAAGGTAACTAACCCAACTAATCAAATCCCGACATACATCACCAAAGAACCGGTCATAATTAAACGCAATTTTCTTTACTACACCATAATTGAATTACATTATTTTGAAAATCTCCAGCCACGCGATGTTTTAAAATATCAATTACCCACAACCAATTATGGCACCACATATTTCGAAGCCGTCATTAGCAGTGGTGGTGGTGGTGGTGATAATTTCAAAACGAAACTTTTACAAACATCATTCTATGCCTTAATCTCCAACCAATGGCCTCAGACATTGCGCAGTGATTTTCAAGCTATTCTCAATGATCTCAAAGAATATCATTATTATCGTTTTCAACGTTCCCGCACCGCCCAGGGCGATTTACGTTGTAACGTTCTCAATGCATTATTGGATAATGCAATACCATTTTGTTGTGGACAGTTGTCTTTTAACGAACATAATTCCGAATTTTCGAATTGTACAACAAGGGACAAATCATGTTCCTGTGAACAGCATAAACGTTGTCCTTTTAAGCCATTAACAGAGGCTATACCGAGCAACATTTTGGCAAATGCAAAAGCTTTGAAGGATAGACTGAAAAGGCAAGGGATTTCGAATTGATAGTTTTCAACAATAATGAGAAAGGGGAGAGAACAGAAGAATGTAAATTCAATATAAAAAATCGGCCCAATAAGCCAAGAAATGTATTTGTTTAAAAATCTATGCATCGAAAGAAATGAAGCTTATCTAAAAATGTTAAGAAAAAAAGTATTCAATTATATTCTTGTCAAGGCCTATATAGGCGGGGATTTTGTAAAGAATATATGATTTGGAGATTTTTTAAAGAGCATTTCAAGGCTTATTAGCAAGGCTTATAAGGGTGCGGAGAATGATTAAAATACACTCTTTCTCGGGCAAATGCACCCTGCTTATAAGGCGTGTAGATTGAAAAAAAATATATATTTATTCGAGGTCTATATGAAGTCTAGATTTGTAAAGAATATTTTTATTCATGACCTATAAAAATTCAGATTTTTCAAGAATATGGTTTCAAAGCCAATAAGTAAGTAGTGCAAAAGAATATTTTTCAAGGCCAATAGGAGATGAGGATTTTTAAGGAATATTTTTTATCAAGGCCTTATGGAGAATAAATTTTCAACCGTAGGATTTTGAAAAATTGAAAGGCCCTCAAACGGGCGTGGATTTAATAACAAAAAATTTTGTAGGCGTAGATTTTCAAGGAATATATTTTTTTCAAAGCCTATAAAGGGCAGATCTTTAAAGAATATTTTTGAAATGCCTATAAAAGGCTTAGATTTATTAAAGAATAATTTTTAAGGTCTAAAAAGTCATTATTTTTAAAAAAAGAATATTTTAAAGACCTGAAACACGTGGGATTTTTTTAGTGAATATTTTTTTTTTTTTTTTGAAACCCTAAAAATCAGAGGATTTTTTGAAGACAATTTTTTAAACTACAAAAGGCTAGATTTATTAACGAATATTTCACCAAGGTCTTGGAGAGGCGAAGATTTTTTAAAGAATATTTATTATTACATTTTTAAAGAATTTTTTTGAGGATCTTGGAAAATATATCTTAATAGATCTACTTTTAAAGATTTTTGCAGGGTCGTAAATATTCGTAGATTTATTAAAAAAATATGTTTATGTTTCCAAGGCCTATAAGCCCCTATTTTAAAATATATTTTTTTTAAATCCACGCCTTGTTGCGTTTCGATAAAATATTTTATTTTTTAAAACTACGCCTTGTGGAGTTTCGAAAAAATATATTTTTTTAAATCCACGCCTTGTAGCGTTTCGATAAAATATTTTATTTTTTTAAACTACGCCTTGTGGACTTTCGAAAAAAAATATATTTTTTAAAATCCACGCCTTGTTGATTTTTTTCCAAATCTATGCCTTATTTACTTTCGAAAAATCTGTTTTTTAATCCACGCCATATTTACTTTCGATTTTTTTAACAATTCACTCCTCGTTATATCGAAAAAATAAAAACCCCTGTAGAAATATCTCTATTTAGTTTTAAATAAATGAATCTCTCTATATTACCGTATTAATTGTATCACTATCATCAATAATCACCAAATATTTTATTCATATTAAATTTGTTATATATTTTATTATTAATTTTTGTTTGTTTGTTGTATTTTCCATTTTGTTCACACCTTTGTTAAATTTGAAATAAAATGTTTACGTTTATATAAACCAAAAAATTAATATTCATCTTCTTTTTTATTTATTTTCAGAAAACCTATTCTAATAAACGCAAAAAGGTTTAGTTTAGTCAGCTACTTCGATTCATCATTTGCTCTCGATTTTTTATATATATTTAAAAAAAAAAAAAACATTTTTGTGTTAAGTCACTTGTTGTATTATACAAATAATAATTATTTTTGTTTTGAAATTAATTTAACGTTTTGAATTTTGTTTTATTTTTTTTACTATGGATTATCAGTTATCCTAACTATGGATAAAACATCAGCAGCGATTTCCGTTTACAACCTCTCGATATATTTACCAAAGACCCCTTGAAAAAATATATATTCCTTATTAGAATAAAATTCTATGTGGATTTATATATGCTTCTCTTGAAATCGCAATCCCAGGATCTTTGAGATTTTTGTTAAAACCCTCTGGTTTTCCTTGGGGTTTTCACTGGTCAGCATATCTCTCTACTAACAGTTGTGACTTTGAAAACGTTTTTTAGCTAATTTGATATTTTGGGTTTTCATTGCGTAAAAAATTTCCCTTCAAAAAATTATTATTAGCCCGAGTTTCAGGATAGCTTACATACAAGGGTACCACTCATTATTTGTGTTCTCGAGGAATTTTCGGTATGTTTTTAACGAATTGACTGTAATTTGCTATTTTGGATTCTCACTGGGTAGTGAATGTTCTTAGCAAAAACTATCAATATTAGTCACCTTTAGGGCATATGACCACTACAATTAATTGTAATTTATTGCTATTTTTTCTTTTTATATTGATTTTTAATTACTCTTTTATATTTAATGCTAATTGCTGATTAATTTTTAAAAAATTAAACTCCTTGTACATTAGAACTTTTTACCGGGTTAACCTACTTTATGAGGATTTATTTGGCATATATGCAAAGGAAATGACAATTGAAACCCACTGGGTTAACGAAATCCGGATAAATGTAAACGTACTGTTAAACTCCCTATATTTAATTGTCTTAAATGTTGATCGTTAGTTTATACCCAACTTAAAAACAGTGGTCATCATTCCCCGATGAATGGCATTTCTAGAATGAAGAAGCATTGGTTTATATTTCATTACTTCTTTCATTTTACTGCATTCTAAACAAACCAACAAACAGCTGTTGCCTATATGATTGTACATATGTGTAGGTGTGTGTGTTATCATTTTACTTAGAATACCCAAGACCCCCTTGGAGGGGGTCAAAACAAGAAGAAGCATTTGTTTTGATACAAACATCTCAGTGAGTGATAAACAACATTCGTCAGTTTATTAGTCGGTCGAAGTACTTCAAGCTATCTCGCCCAGCAATGTCATCCGGAGAAATTCTACAATTTGCACCCCTCCAATCGTTTGTCAGTCCCACCTTTTGGCATAAATTATCGGAAATTAAATTAGATTTGGATCGTCTCGATGATAAACCCCGAAGCATTTGGGGCTACTACACAAATCGTAATGCCAAATCATGTCTGCTGGAAATCGATTATACGGCCTTTAATGGGTAAGTTGTGAAATAGAAGGGGGATATATGTTTTTGATTGGTGATGGCGTCTGATTTCTTTGTTATAACAAAATATGAGAGGGGGACAATAATGCAATTGCACTTTATCTTATTGGTGTCTGTTGTTGTTGTTATTTGCTGAGTTAATTCCATTGTGTACTCTGTTGTCTAGGCGATGAATATAGACGGAGGATAGCTAAGGGTTCATGCAGTAGTGCATAGTTAGCACAGTTTGTCACACATATTGTATGTGTGTAGCCAATGAATGGTTCATTGTCCTGACAAAATGTCCTTCATATGTCTTTATGCATTTGTTGCCGATTTAATGAAGTCAAATTACAAAGCAATATGCTATGGGCCCAGGGGATTAGTTTTTGTAGAGTCCAATCACCTTTCAGAGTACTTCTTTGGACAAAAGATCCGTCAGAGTTCTCCCAAGAGCAAGAGCATAGGGATGTGTTCAACGCCTGTCAAAAGAAAAACATGCAGAACTTTCTAAGTTAATTTGAAGACACGGAGAGGTCTACAGGCAGAGTACCTTTCAGGGCTTTTCTATAGAGATAAGACTATTCAGTCGAAGTCCAATCAGCTATAATAGGCCTTCAAGGCGTAGATTTTTTAAGGAAGACTTCACAAGGCGTAGACTTTTTAAAGACTTTTTTCAAAGGCCTTACAAGGCGTAGATTTTTTAAAGAAGACTTTTTTCAAGGTCCTTACATGGCGTAGATTTTTTAAAGAAGACTTTTTTTTAAGGCTTACTAGGCGTAGATTTTTTCAAGAAGACTTTTTTCAAGGCTTCACTTGGCGTAAATTTTTTAAAATAGACTTTTTTCAAGGCTTCACTAGGCGTAGTTTTTTTAAGAAATACCTTTTCCAATGCTTCACTAGGCGTAGATTTTTTAAAGAAGACTTTTTTCAAGGCTTCACTAGGCGTAGATTTTTTAAAGAAGACTTTTTTCAAGGCTTCACTAGGCGTAGATTTTTTAAATAAGACTTTTTTCAAGGCTTCACTAGCCGTAGATTTTTTAAAGAAGACTTTTTTCAAGGCTTCACTAGGCGTAGATTTTTTAAAGAAGACTGTTTTCAAGGTTTCACTAGGCGTAGATTTTTTAAAGAAGACTTTTTTCAAGGCTTCACTAGGCGTAGATTTTTTAAAGAAGACTGTTTTCAAGGCTTCACTTGGCGTAGATTTTTTAAAGAAGACTTTTTTCAAGGCTTCACTAGGCGTAGATTTTTTAAAGAAGACTTTTTGCAAGGCTTCACTAGGCGTAGATTTTTTAAAGAAGACTTTTTTCAAGGCTTCACTAGGCGTAGATTTTTTAAAGAAGACTTTTTTCAAGGCTTCTCTAGGCATAGATTTTTTAAAGAAGACTTTTTTCAAGGCTTCACTATGCGTAGATTTTTTAAAGAAGACTTTTTTCAAGGCTTCACTAGGCGTAGATTTTTTAAAGAAGACTTTTTTCAAGGCTTCACTAGGCGTAGATTTTTTAAAGAAGACTGTTTTCAAGGTTTCACTAGGCGTAGATTTTTTAAAGAAGACTTTCTTCAAGGCTTCTCTAGGCATAGATTTTTTAAAGAAGACTTTTTTCAAGGCTTCACTAGGCGTAGATTTTTTAATGAAGATTTTTTTCAAGGCTTCACTATGCGTAGATTTTTTAAAGAAGACTTTCTTCAAGGCTTCTCTAGGCATAGATTTTTTAAAGAAGACTTTTTTCAAGGCTTCACTAGGCGTAGATTTTTTAAAGAAGACTTTTTTCAAGGCTTCACTAGGCGTAGATTTTTTAAAGAAGACTTTTTTCAAGGCTTCACTAGGCGTAGATTTTTTAAAGAAGACTTTTTTTCAAGGCTTCACTAGGCGTACATTTTTTAAAGAAGACTTTTTTCAAGGCTTCACTAGGCGTAAATTTTTTAAAGAAGACTTTTTTCAAGGCTTCACTAGGCGTACATTTTTTAAAGAAGACTTTTTTCAAGGCTTCACTAGGCGTAGATTTTTTAAAATAGACTTTTTTCAAGGCTTCACTAGGCGTAGATTTTTTAAAGAAAACTTTTGCAAGGCTTCACTGGGATTAGGCCTCAAACAGTAGTTTTTTTTTACTAGTATTTTCTGAAAACCCGCAGTGTAATTTTTTTTAATATGTTTTGTATTAATCTGAATTAATTTCCTTCTTTTTTCCAGTGATTTCAAGGCTCCAAAATTCTGCTACAAATCCCATGGTACTGTCTACAATAAAAACACCATTGAAGAATTTAAAACCTGTGACAAAAATGCCTTGATGAAAACTGAAGGCCTCAAACTAATAGAGGCTTTTAAAACGGATGCTGTCCTCGATGACCCCAGCTTATTGGCCAGATTTTTTGTACTCTCTTTTGCGGTGAGTCCAAATTTCTTTTTCCCAAAATAAAATACAGTAATTAATTAATTTTAAATTTTCCAGGATTTAAAATCTCACAATTATTATTATTGGTTTGGTTTCCCCTGCCCCTTGACACCCACGTTGAATGTTGAAAAACCTGGAGAAAAAATATCCCAACTCCTAAAAGAGAATTTAAAGAAATACCTTGTTAATGAGGAGGAGTTTGGAATTTTCTTTATTTTCCAAGCCACTGAAGAACAAGAGAAATGCCTAACATTAAAAGAATTTGTTTCTACTCTGCAGAATGAAACATCGCCCAACGATTTGGATAACATTTACTTTTGTTTTGCCGATAATAGTGAACACGAACATCCATCGTGGTTAATGCGTATCTATGTGGCATTTATTTTATACAAATGGTAAGGGAAGTCAAGGTACGAAGTCCGCAACAAATATGACTTTAATTTTCATATATATTGTACAGCAAAATCTTGTTAGGGAAACGCCTCAAATTCCTTGGTATACGCTACGATAATCACATGAATTTGGACGCATCATTGCTATGGGAAATAACACAAACCGAACCATGCCAATTCGATGATGATGCCGATGTTGATCAATTGAAATTTGTCGGCTGGGAATTGAATAAAAATCAAAAACCTCAGCCACGTATGGTATCAATGCGTGATAGTATGGATCCACAATTGTGAGTTTTGAAAAAAGATCATAGTATTGAAAACTGAAATATGAATTTAAATTCCTGTTATTTTCAGACTCACCGAAAATTCCATTAATTTAAATTTAAAATTAATGAAATGGCGTCTATTGCCCGACTTGAATTTAGACGTTATAGCTAAGACCAAATGTTTGCTATTTGGTGCCGGTACGCTGGGATGTGCTGTGTCACGAATGTTGTTGGTAAGTCTTCTTTAAAAAATCTACGCCTTGCGAAGCCTTAAAAATGTTCTTCTTTAAAAAATCTACACCTTGTGAAGCCTTAAAAAATCTACTCGAAAAAATCTTAGTCATGTAAAACCTTGAAAAAAGTATTCTTTAAAAATCTAAACCTTCTGAAGCCTTAAAAAGTCTTCTATAAAAATCTACGCCTTATGAACCTTGAAAAAAGTCTTTTTAAAAATCTACTTGAAAAAGGTGTTCTTCAAAAAATCTGTGCCTTGATATGTCTCTGAAAAGAGTTTCTATAAACCATTTCTATTTTTTTTCTTTTCAGGGCTGGGGCTTTAAACACATAACTTTCATTGATAATGGCAAAGTTGGTCTGGCCAATCCCGTCCGTCAATATCTCTATACATTTGAAGATGCCGTTAAGGGTGATGTTATGAAAGCTGATGCTGCAGCTGCATGTATGAAGAAAATTAATCCGGGAACTGTAAGTGTACAAGTACACCACAAAACGATTTCAATAAAACAAATTAATTTTTTTCAGATATCTGCCGGACATGTAATTCAAATTCCTATGCCTGGTCATACCGTGGGTGAATCATTGAAAGAACAAACGGAAAAAGATTTGAATAAATTAAAGCAACTTGTCCAGGAACATGATGTACTGTTTCTGCTTACCGATTCCAGAGAAAGTCGTTGGCTGCCAACATTATTGGGAGCGGTATATGAAAAGGTTAGACTGGAGGTGTAAGAGAAAATTTAATAGATGAGAGAATTATTGAATTTTCTTTTTTTTTCAGATTGTAATCAATTCGGCTCTTGGTTTTGATAGTTATTTAGTGCAAAGGCATGGTGCAACTAGAACAGCTGGCATTTCAAAAGATGCTAAAGATGACCAGCTGGTGGATAATTTAAAATGTATTGCCGGCCATCAGTTGGGTTGTTATTTTTGTAATGATGTTACGGCACCAGGAAATGTAAGTATATATTTAAATATAATCTTCATAAAGACTCCTTTCAGTTCGTCTATAAAGACTCCCTTCATGTTGTATATAAAGACTCCCTTCATATCGTCTATAAAGACTGCCTCAATCACTCCCTTTAGCTCTTATATAAAGAGTGCATGCATCTCCACTTTAAACTTACTTTATTATATTATAAAAAATAATAATAATGGTTCTTAACAATAGAATTTTGGCAACAAAAATTAACAAACAAACCAAAAAAAGACACCTGATTATTAGGCACATTCAAAATCAAAACGGGTATATTTTTCAAATCCCGTACACATGGGATCACCCATTTGGACATGATCGACACCCGTTATGTGCATGTGTAAACCATTTGTGCAGGCGATCTTGAAGCCAACCAATTTTTGTAGAATATTTGCTGTACGATAGGCATAGCTGCAGAAATTATAGCCATCGACGGCTGTAAGGAATTCACGTTCTGTAAAGGCAATGGCCAACTTGAATTGTTGATTGAAGACAAAGGGAAAACCGCCATGGCGTTCTTCGGGACCAAATCTGCAAACAACAAATAGACAACGAATTAAAAAGAAAATTAAAAAAACAAAATCATTATCTTCCTAATACTCACTCGTTTTTACTATCATGACCATTTCGCACCACCACCTTCTCATTAAATCGTACACTAAAGTGTAACTCTTCCCGCTTCGTATCCGTGTCCATAAACTTAATTATAAATTGTCCTTTTTTATTGTCAAAACATCTGGCGGTCATAACGATGACATGACCCGGACTAAATAGTATCGGTGCATCATTACTGAATGCCTTGAAATAATCACTGGCGTGTATTGGTGGCCATGGATTTGGAAATACCGTCCGATGATCGACCTGTTTGATAGCCTGTATTTGATCTTTCAATTCCAATGATCGCAGCGTCTCCAATGGCAGACGATAATTGAACGTACAATATGGTATACTATTTATCGAAATGTGAAATTTATCTTCACAACACAATATATAGATCATAAAGAAATCACCCGATGCAATGGGATTGGGTTGTGAATATTTACTAATATTTTCGACTTCCTCTTCACCCCATTGACCGTCGATGCGTGCATTTCGTACAATACAATTTTCACGAAAATATACCGAAATGCGTAGACCAATGTCGGCTTGAGGATTGATAATCGATTTGCAAGTCATCAACGAAAGATTAAATCTGAAATGAAAGAAAAAAAAGATTATATAGAACAAATATTCTTAAAAAAAAAAATTACAATGCCTGGATAGGCCTCTGAGAAACTATACTTTAAAAATTTCTTCTTTAAAATATTCTTCTGGGCTTTGTTAGACCCTAAAAAAAATTTCTTTAAAAAATCCACGCCTTAAAAAATCGGGCCTTGAAAAAATGTTCTTTAAAAAATCGGGTCTTGAAAAAATATTTTTTAAGAAATCGGGCCTTGAAAAATATTCTTTAAAAAATCGGGCCTTGAAAAAATATTCTTTAAAAAATCTACGCCTTAAAAAATCGGGCCTTGAAAAAATATTCTTTAAAAAATTTACGCCTAAAAAAATCGGCCCTTGAAAAAAATATTCTTTAAAAAATCTACGCCTTGTTAGTTCCTTGAAAAAATGTTCTTAAAATATCTACGCCTTGTTAGGCTATTGAAAAAATATTATTTTTGAAATCTACGGCTTGCTAGGCCCTGGTTTAAAGTGAAGGCCACTTCAGGGCTGGTCTTTAAAGAATACACCATCGGAGACGGCCTATAAAGAATACCGCCTTCAGAACACATTAAAAATATCAACCTTAGAGCTAATCTATAAAGAAGACCACCTTCAAAGCTAAAGAAAACCTACATCCTAGTTGTTCAGTCGGAGTTGGTCTATAAGATCAGCTTCAGAGCTGGTCTATAGAAGAAGACTACTTCCTGGTTTATAGTGAAGGCCCCTTCAGGGCTTGTCTTTAAAGAATACACCATCGGAGATGGCCTATAAAGAATACCGTCTTCAGAACATATTAAAAATATGAACCTTAGAGCTAATTTATAAAGAAGACCACCTTCAAAGCTAAAGAAACCTCCATCCTCGTTGTTCTATAAAAAATACCACTGTCGAAGCTGGTCTGTATTTCGTCTATAAAAATGGAGTTCAGCATGTCGATAAAAACTGACTTCAGCCAGCAATAAAGACTGCCTACAGCTCTCTATAAAGACTCCTTCAGCTCTTCTATAAAATCTGTCTCCAGCTCGTCAATAAAGAATACCTTCAGTTTGTCTATAAAGTTTCCGTTTTAGGAAGATTTGTGTCCAGTTTTTTTTTCATCGTGCCATGATGAGTGTTTTCATTACTTTTTATTATTTCCTTTCCATTATGGTTGGTATCGATTCAATGGTAAAACAAACAAAAATATTTTTTAGTACAAATCGGTATCATAACATTTCATAATCTGTGACATTTTTTTACCTGGCAGTGAATAAATAGTTCACCTATATTTGTTGTTATTCGTCATACAACATCAACGACAACTATCCCCATAATATTTTCTTTATCATTGATTCGGGGTTTTTTTTGTTTGATAAGAAACAAATAAAAAATAAGACCTCAAGTAATTCCAGAGCAGAAAAAATGTATGAATACCCACCTTGAAGCACCATCTATTGTTTTGGCCACAATTTCCAGGGCATGGCCAAATTCCAGGTGATGAGCTAAGTTGCCGGCAAATTCTGTTAACATTTTTGTTTGATTTGTTTCCTTTTTATTATTTATTGATTTGTTGCAAAACAAAACACTTGTTCAAACATGCATCGATCGATATCAACAAATGCAAATGGTTTCTGGACTTTTGCACACACACTCGCTGTAATGGATGTGACGCTTTGATTGCAACAACAATAGCAACAGCAACCCAATTGAAAACAAAATTGAAATTAGACTCCGCCAGTCGATTGTGCCTTCCTCTCCAGCGTTAAATTGTGAACTGACTGCGCGTTTCTATTCTTCCAATCATCCATCCAAAAGGGAAGCACACAAATTTCTACGATATTTTGTTCGCAGTAGTATTGTTATTATTGACTACAACAATAAAATATTTGTTGTTATCAGTTTTTGTAGTTGTATTTTGGTCAATGTTGTTTTTGTTGTTGCTTTTTTATCTAATCAAAATGACAAGAAGAAGAAGAAAACCAATAATTACACTTATCCAATAGCGGTTTAAATTTGTTTTTCTCTATGCTTTTTAAAAGAACAGAGCACAACACTTTTATTTTCACTTAATTATTTGCTTTAATTTATTTATTGTTTAATTCTAATTTAACACTTTCTGGAAGATTTCCTCTTCAAAGTTTTTAATGCATTTGAACTCTGCTGCGTAGCCAGCAGACAGACAAACCCCATCACGCAGCCAGCCAGCCATTCAAGTTTTCTCAAACAGACAGATAGACAGGTGAAGCGAGAGACAGAGAACAGGAAGAGACAGAGCGAGGAAGACATGCTTCATTAAGAATTTTTGTTTACATATCTCTTTTTCATATTTCTCTTGATATCAAACAATTGTTAATGGGGTCTCTGACAATCTGTGGTGGGGCCAACAATGTGGGCGCTCTCTTATTGTAGTTCATTAATATAATTGGTAAGAGATGAGACTCTTTGTTGTCCAAGCATGTCATCTGGTGTCTCTTCTCTTTGATCATCAGCTGATTTATTTATATATTAACGCAAATAGCACCAGCAATCATTTTATTGTTTTTTATTATAGGCTTTGTAAAATAATTAACAAATTTGTGGAGTATCAACGAGTACTTTTTAAAGAAACATTTTCAGAGGACTAAAAGGGAGTTGATTTTTTAAGGAATATTTTTTCCTGAGGCTGAACAGGGCGTAGATTTGTTAAAGGTAAATTTGTCAAGGGCCTATCGCCTTGATTTTTTAAAGAATATTTTTTCAAGGGCCTGGATTTTTAGGAGAATGTTTTTTTTTTCAAAGACCTAGGCGTAGATTATTTTAAAGAAGACTTTTCAAGGACCTAACAAGCGTAGATTTTTTGAAGAAGACTTTTTTTCAAGGCTTCACAAGGTGTAGATTTTTTAAAGAAGCCTTTTTTAAAGGCTTCACTAGACGTAGATTTTTTAAAGAATACTTTTTTCAGGCTTCAAAAGGCGTAGATTTTTTAAAGAAGACTTTTTCAAGGCGTAGAATTTTTAAAGAAGACTTTTTTCAAGGCTTCACAAGGCGTAGATTTTTTAAAGAAGACATTTTTCAAGGCTTTACAAGGCGTAGATTTTTTACAGAAGACCTTTTTCAGGCATAGATTTTTAAAGAAGACTTTCAAAGTCGTAGCGCTGAAGAAGAAGTAGATTTTTACATAATATTTTTGCAAAGTCCTATGGCTTAACAAGAAGTAGATTTTTTCATAATATTTTTGCAAAGTCCTAGGGCTTAACAAGAAGTAGATTTTTACACAATATGTTTGCAAAGTTCTAGGGCCCAAGGATTAGTAAGGCGCAGATTTTTTAAATAGCATATTTTTCCCGAGGCTTAGCAACTCGCATTATCTTCCATTTCTTTTCTTTTTCTCTTTCAGTCCCTTAAAGATCGCACCCTGGATCAACAATGTACTGTAACTCGACCGGGAGTCTCGAATATTGCCGCCAGTTATGCTGTTGAACTACTGGTCTCCCTATTGCAACATCCTCTAAAAGAATTGGCACCGGCCTATTATGCCACAACCGCCAGCAGCACAACAGCATCTGCACAACAATTTGATAACAAAATACCTGAAGGTATTTTGGGTATTATACCACATTCCATACGCGGATTGCTGAGTAATTTTGAAAATATTTTACCGGCTACACAGAAATTTGTACAATGTATTGCTTGTTCAGAGGTGAGTGGTCACAGGAGGTCATTTAATGATGAAAATGTTCTTTAACGAAATCCATTTCATTGAAGAACAGTTTCAGTGCCAGATCTCGCAATAATATTTTATGAAATCTGAATATGTTTTTCCTCTTTTACAGAAAGTTTTAAATGAATATCGCACGAACGGCAATGAATTTCTATTCAAAGTTTTTGAATCGGCCAAATATTTGGAAGACTTGACGGGAATTTCCGATTACAAGGAACTGCAAAATGAGGTAGGCAGTCATTCTGAAAAATAATTGTAGAATTTAAATAATCATAATTTTGGTTTTTGTTTTTCAGATAATTGATTTCAATGACTCGGATATGGAATTATCGGATGATTAAATTTGTTCAATAACAACGAAATATTCTATCCAAAAAAATATGATTTAATTCAAGGCAAATTTTATTTGAAATTCCTTGCTTTAAATGGCATTTAGTGAATATGACCAATGAGAAGAAGAATATGCATTGCAATCATATTATTTATTCTTACTACTTTTGCAATTTATTTATATATACAATATGTATGTCTATTTATACTTCTAAACAAAGTGATAATAAAGGTATATTACAAATTTAAACGTGTGATACGAACAGATCTCCGGCCTTCTTAAAAAAACTATTCCTTGTTAGGTTCTTAAAAAAGAATTTTTAAAAATATATTCAATTTCAATTCAATTTATTTATTTCTTTGAAATATATGTATATGACTTAAAAAAATCTTTAAAAAATATAAATTTACGCCTTGAAAAAAAGTCTTCTTTGAAATATCTACGCCTTGCAAAGCCTTGAAGCCATTGCGAAACCTTGAAAAAATTCTTCTTTGAAAAATCTACGCCTGTGAAGCATTGTACAAAGTCTTCTTTGAAAAATCTACGCCTGTGAAGCCTTGGACAAAGTCTTCTTTGAAAAATCTACGCCTGTGAAGCCTTGGACAAAGTCTTCTTTGAAAAATCTACGCCTGTGAAGCCTTGGACAAAGTCTTCTTTGAAAAATCTACGCCTGTGAAGCCTAGGACAACGTCTTCTTTCAAAAATCTACGCCTTGCAAAGCCTTGGACAAAGTCTTCTTTGAAAAATCTACGCCTGTGAAGCCTAGGACAAAGTCTTCTTTGAAAAATCTACGCCTTGCAAAGCCATGAAAAAAGTCTTCTTTGAAAAATCTACGCCTGTGAAGCCTAGGACAAAGTCTTCTTTGAAAAATCTACGCCTGTGAAGCCTAGGACAAAGTCTTCTTTGAAAAATCTACGCCTGTGAAGCCTAGGAAAATGTCTTCTTTGAGAAATCTACGCCTGTGAAGCCTTGGACAAAGTCTTCTTTAAAAAATCTACGCCTGTGAAGCCTTGGACAAGTGAAGTGTTGAAAAAATCTTCTTTAAAAAGTCTACGCCTTGAAAAAATCTTCTTTAAAAAGTCTACGCCTTGAAAAAATATTCTTTAAAAAATCGACGCCTTGAAAAAGATATTCTTTAAAAAATCTACGCCCTTGGAAAAATTATCATTAATAAATCTACGCCTTGTTAGGATTTTGAAAAAAATATTCTTTAAAAAATATACGCCTTGAAAAAATATTTTTTAAAAAAATATACGCCTTGAAAAAATATTCTTTAAAAAAATATACGCCTTGAAAAAATATTCTTTAAAAAATCAACGCCATGTTTGGCTTTAAAAAAAAATATTCTTTAAAAATTCTACGCTTTAAAAAATATTTCCTTGGAAAAATATTCCTTAAAAAATATATGTCCTGTTAGGCTTTTGAAAAAATATTCTTTAAAAAATCTACTATGCTTAAACAAATTTTTTTTTTCAGCTTCGGCTAAACCCTTCAAATAGAAAGGCTTGGCATCAAATCACCTCGTGATTCTTAAAACGTTTTCGTTTTTCGCATATACAAATTCCCGATGTCTTATCTGCTGAGTACCGTCACATTAAAACATCGTTTTTTGTCCGACAACAACAAATGTTATGAATTTTAAATTAATTATGTTTGCGGTGTCTAAAAATTAATCGCTTGACTAGAATTGTGCCGAAAACCATTTTAGCTCAAAGTGCAAAGTGAGTGATTTCAGTTGGGCTGAGTAGTTTAAAGGTTTGGGGCAAAAAATCTCGTTTTTTTGTTATTTACAAATTGTCTACGGTATAGAAAATACGCTTATGAATAAAACATGAAATTCCAACTACAACAACACTACATCATTTCACATCAATGTAAGCCACGAAGATGGTAATGAAAGAAAAAATATTTTGGCCCAGACATTAGTTATCAACAAATTGTTTAACCTAAGGTCATGAAATTCACTCAATTTGCACTTTGAGTTAAAATCTTTAAATGGGGCCAGCTTTCGCATAGAACGAAGACGAGGTATAATTTGAATACAAAAACAAAATAATTTTTTGTTGGGTTTGACAATATTTTTATCTTCCTACTCTTATATTGGAACTTGTGGTCCATTATTTTCCTAGTATAATGGGAATGGGAATTTATGTCATTATTTAGGTGAAATTTTCATTAATCATTTGTTGTGCGAAGTTCTTGTGTCCTTTTGTCCTTTAACGAAATTCCATCGTACAGAAATCCTCGATAGTATAGTGGTTAGTATCCCCGCCTGTCACGCGGGAGACCGGGGTTCAATTCCCCGTCGGGGAGTTTACGTCGAAAGTTGCGGTAGACGCAGCAGCAAAACTATTTTGTAATTTTATTTATTATTATTTATATTTATTCCATTAAAAAAGTTGAAAAAATAATTATTTTTTTTTAATTTTTATACTCTTGTAAAAGCATTGAACCCGGTTAGTTTGTGTTCCGAAGCAAAAGTTTAAACACTCTGCTATTGTGCTGTTTCTTATGGGATTAATTGTGTTACCAATTTGTTCGAAGCTGAAGCTTTTTTAATTAAAAGCTTTAAGGACATTTGTCAGATGTAGTTGGAATGCGAAGAAAAGCTGAATGTAGATGGCACTGTAGCGATATTTTCCATGCTTAGATTTTTTAAGGAATATTTTTCAGAGGCCTACATAGGCGTACACTTTTTAAAGATTTTTTACAAGGGATTTTTTAAAGATTTTTTACAAGGGATTTTTTAAAGATTTTTTGTTTTTGCGTTTATTTAAAGAATATTTTTTTCAAGATCCTAACAAGGCGTAGATCCTAACAAGATTATATATTTTTTCAAGGCGGGTGGCGTAGTGGATGATGGATACCAAGCAACGGCTCTGATTGGCTTTAACTTGGCTAAGTCCATGCTTATCTTGGTCCCTCTTTCATCTCAACAGAAACAGCTCTGGCCATGATATTAAAATTCTGCTAGGAGATTTTAATGCAAAAATCGGAAGGGAAAATATCTTTGACCCCACCGTCGGAAAAGTCTGCCTCCATTAAGAAACATCGGACAACGGCATGAGGTTGAATGACTTCTCGGCAGCAAAAAACATGGTAGTTAGCAGCACCAGATTCAAGCATCTCGATAAACACAAGGCCACCTGGATTTCTCCCGATCGAACAACGAGAAATCAAATCGATCATGTTGTGATTGACGGAAGGCATTCATCCAGTGTTTTAGACGTACGATCGATCGGGGAGCGAATATCGATTCAACTTACCCAACTGCTTGACGAAAGCACCCCTGGTCCCGATAATAATATAGAAGCACAATGTCTGAGAATTGCCCACTCCATACAAACTGCAGCAAAAGTAACACTTGGGTACCAAAGACCACCATCAAGAAACCCGTGGTACGATCAGGAGTGTCGTAATGCTACTGATATGAAAAACGCAGCGTATAGGGAAACCCTGCAGACAGTAGAAACACGTAACGAGATGGAGAATTATCGGGAGAAAAGGAGAGAGGAGAAACGTATTTTCAGAAAAAAAAAAATGAAAGAGCAAGCGTGAGCAAATCGAGATGTCCAGGAGTCAGAATGAAGTCAGGAAATTCTACAAACGGGTAAAACACCAAACCGAAGGCTTTGGTGCAGGCACATCCTCCTGTAGAGATAAAGAAGGAAACCTGGTGACATATACAGACAGCGTGCTGAGGATCTGGAAGGAGCATTTTGAAAAACTTCTGGTATCAAATAGTAGCAGTGAGGTGGACACCCCAGAACCAATAATATATGATGTTATAGAATGTATACCACCTAGCCAAGATGAGGTCAGAATAGCAATCAATCGGCTGAAGAATTATAAAGCAGCAGGTGCCGATGGGTTACAAGCCGAACTATTCAAGGCTGGTGGTCAGATGCTAGTAAGGAGCATGCACCAGCTGATTAGTACAATTTGGCTAGAAGAATGCATGCCCAACGATTGGAACCTCAGCATTATGTGCCCCGTGCACAAAAAAGGAGACAAGACGATATGTGCCAACTATAGGGGAATAAGTCTCCTTCCCATCGCATATAAAGTGCTATCCAGCGTACTGTGTGAACGACTGAAGCCAATGGTCAATGACATTATTGGACCATTTTTGGGTACATACAGATCGTACAGAGGTGTTTAAAGCCATGTCTGCGTTTGGCATTCCTGCAAAATTAATTCGGCTATGCAGGATAACTTTAACTGGCACAAGATCCGCAGTTAAAGTCGAAAAGGACCTCTCGGAGCCCTTTAATATCGAACGAGGATTCAGACAAGATGACAGTTTGTCGTGTGACCTTTTTAACATCCTGCTGGAAAAGGTCATAGGAGAGGCAAAAGTGAACAGAAATGACACTCTGTACACCAAACAACACATGTTACTCGCCTACGCCGATGACATCGACATAACGGGTAGAACACTGAGAGCGGTAACAGCCACCTTTGAACAAATTGAGAAAGAGTCTGCCAAAGTGGGCCTGGCTGTAAACGGCGAGAAGACCAAGCTGATGGTATCAACGCGCAAAACGTCCAGTAGACTTCGGACCAACTGTGGAAGTTGAGAACTACAGCTTCGAGGTAGTCAAAGATTTTATATGCCTTGGTACCGCCATATACAAAACCTATGACATCAGTTTTGAAATTCGGAGAAGGATAGTGATGGTCAACAGATGCTGCTATGATCTGAGCAAACAATTTAAAAGCAAGGCCACCTCCCGCCAGACCAAACTCACACTCTAAGAAACGGGGAAGGCCAATGATACGATGGAAAGATCAAGTCGAAGACAACGTTGCCAAAAATGGTATTTTAAATAGAAAAAAACTGCGCAAAAGACCGACGCGCCTGAAAATCTTTTCTAAGCTCGGCTTATGGAATGAAAGTTCTGTAAGTAAGTGTTTTTTCAAGGCCCGAATAAGGCTTAGATTTTTAAAGAATATTTTTTCGGAGACCTATCAATTTGTAGATTTTTAAAGAATTTTTCAAGTGCCCAACAAGGCGTTGCTGTTTTAAAGAATA